GCACAAGTTTGGTCTCTTTTCATTTGGGGGCCAGTAGATACTACACAGGATATACTATTCCAACCCATTTATTGAGTGGCTCAGAAGTTTGGCAGTTTCAAGTGGGACACAAAGCAATAGAGGACTCTGCAGCAGGTTCAGGCAATGGTGCACGCTTCCTTGTGGCTAGGACTATATGAGACAACAGATTGAGTGGTGCTAGAGGTATTCAAAAGAAGAGTGGCAACTGAGAGCTCTAGGATTCTTAGTCAAGGCATGCCTCCTGCTACAGAGAATTGCTCACTGTTTGAAAAGTAATTTCTGGTATGCTACAGGGTACCATGAGAGACTGAGTGCCTGACCATGGGACATCAATATTTGCAATTGGAGATGCCCACTGTGAACTGTGTACTGTTAAATCATCTGGGTTATAAGTTGAGCTTGCACAGCTGCAATCCATCATATGATGGAAATGATACATACAGGGTTAGGCCTGAGCAAGCAAGTCCAAGTAAGTTTCACAAAAAGATGACCAGATTCCCACATCACCAACTTGTGTTGTACCAGTGCTTCTCCAACAGTCCACACCTATGGCCTCATGAGATGTTCCCTGTGACCAAAACATCCATGCCTGTTTTAAATTTTAATTTTTATTTTTTTAGACAGGGTCTTGCTCTGTTGCCCTAGTTAGAGCGCAGTGGCATCATCATAGCTCACTGCAACCTCAAACTCCTGGGCTCAAGTAATCTTCCTGCCTTGGCCTCCGAAATGCTAGGATTACAGGCATGTGCCATCACACTCAGCTAATGTTTCTATTTTTAGTAGAGATGGGGTCTCGCTCTTGCTCAGGCTGGTCTCAAACTCTTGGCCTCAAGCAATCCTCCCACCCCAGTCTCCCAGAGTCCTAGGATTACAGGTGTGAGCCGTCAAGCCCACAGGCCTGTTTTAAAAGTCAATTGACTCAATGTGTTGGTTTAAGCAAAAGTGGTCTACTGGTCCACTATACCCACTCACAGCCCCTAAAATAAACTAGTAAGAAAAAATCCTCACTGTAGGCACAGATTGGGACAGAACACTCAGTGTATGAATAAACTAGCCTGATGTAAGGATATGTATGCTTCTCCTGTGCAGTGGTGACCTGCTTGGCTGACTGGTTAGGGACCTAGAATGAGCAAGATTCTAATATTGAGTATAAAGAGTTGTGTGGATAGAAGCAGAGAGTAGAACAATGGTTACTAGAGGTTGGGAAGTGTAGTGGGGAGATGGGATGCCCAGAGGTTGGTTAATGGATACTAGATTACAGCTAGACAGGAGAAATAAGTTCTTATGTTCTACAACACTGTAGAATGACTATAATTAACAACAATTTATTACATATTTTCAAATAGCTAGAGGAGTAGATTTTGAGTGTTCTCCACACAAAGAAATGGTAAATGTTTGAGGTGATGGATATGCTAATTACCCTGATTTGATCATTAGGCATTATATACACGCAATGAAATCTCACATTATACCCCACAAATATATACAATTATTTTGTGTCAATTAAAAATAATAATAGGCTGGGCATGGTTGCTCATGCCTGTAATCCTGGCATGTTGGCAGGCCAAAGCAAGATGATCACTTGAGGCCAGGAGCTCGAGACCAGTCTGGACAACATAGCCAGACCCTGTCTCTACAAAAAAATAGAAAAATTAGCTAGGCGTCGTAGCTAGCACCTGTAGTCCCAGCTACTCGGGAGGCTGAGGTAAGAAGATCACTTGAGCCAGGAGTTTGAGGTTGCAGTGAGCTGTGATGATGCCACTGCACTCTAACTGGGTGATAGAATGAGACTCTTATCTCAAAATAATAACAATAATGATAATAGAAAAAAACATATTTTTGTGGATATATCTCTGAGAGTAGAAACAAATATGCACATCTTTTTGCCTCACACTAATGTCTGCTGGAAAGCATTCATCATTGAGGAGGCTTTTATCAACAAGGTAGACACGATGCTCCTTGGGTAGATGTCAGCCAGCCTCTGTTCTTGGCATTCCAATGCTAGTGCAGTGGACCCATGAACATAGCAGCTTTGTTGGCAGGTATAAGGGCCATACCAGGCCCTAGCAATATCGGCTCATTCTCACCAAGCTGACGTTGCTACTGCTTCTACAGAAGTTCTGACTTTTCAGCAGCAAAGACCAATAATGAGTATTGGATAGAGTACCAATCCTGAAGGACACCACCAGGCACTTAGTGGAAAATTGATTACATCAGATCCCTCACCCCTCCTCCCTTTAGAAGAGGGAGTGATTCATCCTTACTGGAATTACTTCCTATCCTGGATATGTGTTTGTCCTCCTTGCCCATAGAGTAGCTTCTGGGATTATTATCTGAGGGCTTACAGAATGCTTTATTTACTGACATGGTATTCTGCATAGCATTACTGTGGACCAAAGGACCCACAGCAAAGGAGGTATGACAAGACAACATGGGCACAAAGCTATGGTGATCCACCGTTCCTACCATATACCACATTATGCACAGGTTACTGGTGTGACAAAATGTTGGAAAGGACCGTTAAGGGCTCAGTTAGATTAGGGACAACATCCTGCATAGCTGGGAGTTGTCCTGTAAGATGTGGTATATTCACTGAGCCAATGTCAGATATATGGTGCTGTGGACCCAATAGTTAGTATACATGAGACTGGAAACCAAGGTGGAGAAGCAGAAATGGCTCCTCTTACCATGTACTCAGTGACCCACTTGCAGAATTTGCACTTCCTATTTCCACATCCTTAGGCTCTGTTAGACTATAGGCCTTCATTACTATTGGGTGTGGGAGGGAGAAAATCACATCAACTAGGGGATACTGTAAGGGTCTCACAGAACCTATAGCCACGGCCACCACCTGTTGACCTTGGCTCTTTATGTCAAAGGACTACTAGAAAAAAAAAGGCATTTTTTAATATCGGCAGGGTAATTGATCCTGATTATCATGAGCACCTAGGATTGTTGCTAAATAATGGAAGTATGGAAGGGTATTTCTAGATATCAAAAGATACACTTGGATTCCCCTTGTTCTTTTATGCCTGACAAAAGCACTGAATAAAAAATTATAGCAACCTCAGCCTGACACAGGCAAGCCAACCAAGGCCTTGGATTTCTCAAGGATGAAGGCTTGGATCTCCCCACCAAGCTAATACATTGCATCAGCTGAAGTACTCACCAAGGGGGAGGAAAATCTAGAATGGGTTGTGAAAATCTAGAAAAAAAAACCCTAATAAATATCAATTATGGCCTTTGGAGCAGTTGCAGCAAGGGGCATCTGCTTGCTACACTAACTCTCTGGTTCAATTGAGAATTAGCAGCTGAGTTCTCTGAGTTCAATTGAGAATTAGCAGCTGCTTATGACCTTCAAGAACTGGTGACAGAATGAATTTTATATAGGGCAGAAATGGATCTGAAAGTTTCAACGGATAGACTGTAGGAGATACTTTTGGTGTCCTGTGCCACTTCTTTTTATTTCAGCTGCAAAGGTGTTGGACAGTTCCTATGCATGCCACAGCTTCCCCTCAAATGCCTGCCACATGCATTTTCTGTCTTCCTGACTCACCACTCTCACCAAAGCCACAGGAGTTCACTGAGCCCAGCTGAATGGCCAGACATACAGGGGAGTTAAGTCCCCTGAAAGCCACCCTCAACCAATGAGTGAGGGGAGTTAGTGGATAAATGCATCAGCCTTTTGTCACTGGGAGGAAAAATTCTGAGATTTCTGACTACACAGTTCCTCAGAGAGTCCCTACAGGGACTAAGTCCCAATTGACCAAAGTGGTAGCTAAATCAATAATGTATCCTTTAATGCTTTTCCTTCTCATCTCTCAGCTTCTTGCTTTTCAAGATCATCTGGCAAGTAAACTACTTAATTCAGTCCCTGCTTTCAGAAGAACCCAAAGCAGATGGATAAACCAGTTGACTGCTGGTTGATGGTCATATTTATAGAAAGGAAAGGTTTGATTTTGTTAATAAAGTAAAAGCTAATAATAGTTTTGGTAGAGAAATTGAATTTAACTAAACATTGGAAATAAACATCTATTGTGCATTTATTATATATCAAGCATTTTAGAAGGTATTCAATACCATTATTGATTGATGACAGAAGTGAGTTTTTGGAACTCATAGGAAAGGAACAGGAAAAAGAGAAAGCACATAATAAGAAATCAACAAATGGTAGTCAAACTCTTTTATAATGGTGTCTACCTGCTTGCAGCCATCTGGATAACCACTTATCTAAAGAAATCTACAATCTTATTTAGGCTTATGTTGTGTACCATGCTTTGGTGAGTGTGTTAGGAAATGAGGGTTCCAGCATGACTGGTGTGTGGTATATCCAAATATATATAACAAAATTCTTTTCTAAAAATATGAAATAATTCAACATGTGATACGTGAGAAATATAAGAAACCCTCAAGATCATTTAGTCCAATGTCTTCATTTTACAGATGGAGAAAAAGAGGTAGCTGGTGGCCTAAACAGACCCTGGATATCAAGCTTCAAAATCCCTTTCCATTATACATGGAAACTTGTACCAAGAGAAGAGTTGTCATTTGGAAACTGGTTAACTGAAAATAGTTTCTGTATTTCTGTGAAGTCTTACACAAAGCAGGTGTGTTTATAGATGCCATTGGAGTTCAGTTGCTTGTATACAGTCTAAATTGATACTGAGTCCCTTATGCCAATAAGCCTTGTAGAATGGCCTCAGATGGAGTTCCAATCAAGTACTGAATCTTTCTAAGAGGCCTAACATTGTGATGCAAAACAGAAGAGAATTCCAAAGAACCTTGGCGATCACCTTGCCAACCCCAATAGAGGTTTTTGTAGATATTTAGTCTAGGCGCTTTTGTACATATTTAGTATCACTCTCAATTGATTGCCTAACTTGATCTCCATGATTCTTCTGGCTCAAATGGGAAGAAAGAAAATAAAAAAAAGGAGAAAGAAGAACATTTCCCCCACCTCTTCCCTCTTTCAAACCTTCTATCCAGATGTCCTCATTAGCTAACCACGGCCTCAGGTAGGAAATGGTTGTTTCCCCTCCAGGAGGGAAGCGCTCAATAAATGCCTGTTGGTTGACGGAACAGCATTCTCTGATTGTCTATCATCTGGAATGGTTCTCCCATAAGTAGCAAGGGTATCTTTCATTGATGAAAGCAGTGACCACTTTTTTTATTGTGGTAAAATATAAATAACATACAATTTACCATTTTAACCATTTAAAATGTATAATTTGGCACATTAAGTACATTCACATTGCTGTACAACCATGACCTCCACCCAATCTCCAGAACTTTTCGTCTTCCCAAACTGAAACTTCATGCCCATTAAATAATAACTCCCCATTCCCCACTCCCTCCAGCCCCTGGCAACCACTATTCTCTGTCTCTATGTATTTGACTACTCTAGATACTTAATCCATAAGTGAAATCATACAGTATTTGTCCTTTGGTAACTGGCTTATTTCATTTAGCATAATGCCTTTAAGGCTCATCCATACTTATTTTCTGTTTTTGTTTTGTTTTCTTGAGAGTAGACATCCTAATGGATGTGAAGGTTTCTCATTGTGGTTTTGATTTGCATTTCCCTAATGATTAGTGATGTGGAACATCTTTTTGTGTGCTTATTGACTGTTAGTATATCTTCTTCAGAGACATGACTATGCAAGTCCTTTGTCCATTTTTTAATTGAGTTGTTTGTTTTTGTTGTTGTGTTTTAGAGGTTCTTTATATATTTGGATAGTATAAGGGATATTAAGGATATTATAATTAATCCCTCATAAGATATATGATCTGTGCATATTTTCTCACATTCCTTGGGTTGCCTTTTCACTCTCTTGATAATGTACTTTGAAGCGCAAAAATTTTTGATTTTGAAGTCCAATTTATCTAGTTTTCTCTTTGTTACCTATGCTTTTGGTACACTAACTTTTGAGTTCACATCTCAATCCTAATTTTAATTCTTAAATTTAAATGCTACTGCTTGGGGTTAAGGTTGGTTTTCTGGGGCCTGAAACACACATAATTTGGGAGGCTTAAGAAAAAAATATATAAAGAATGTTATTTTTATTAATTTCTACTAAATTTTATGCTAAGATCCTCATAAGAAATCATGCAAGCTTCATTAGCTTCATCATTAATCAGCTTTTGCAGTCACCACCATCACCTTTCTTCTTCCCTCCCCCCACCATTTCTAACAATTGAGCAAGCATGTATAAATCTTAATTGAAATATTAGTATATGAAAATATTACTATAAAGATATTTCTAGCCAAAGCATATCAGAACAGATATTCTCCTATAAACAGCTTTAATCTATTATTTACTAAATCAGAAAGGACTGAGGTTTAACATATCTACTCATAATTCTAGCTCTATTACTAATTGGTTTTGAAAATCTGGCAACTAAACCTTTCTGATTATCAACATGTATAAAATAAGAAGTTTGGACTTGAAGTTCCATTACGGCTCTAATAGTCAATAATTCTTTTTACTTCCAGCTCATTTCTCTACCTGCTTTCAGTGCTTGTTCCTCTGTCCTACCTCCATCCTGCTGTGTCAAAGTTCTGCATTACAATGAATTCATTTCATTATTACTTTGAGTATGATGCTTCCATCCATTGGTTATGATTCCTCCTTAAAGAGAAGTTTTAGAATGTCATAGATGGTGACCTACCTAAACTGACACCTCTTTTCACATACCCATGGCTCTGGTCTCCTCTTGAAAGCAATATTTACTTTCTCTTGCTGTATTCTTATTTGATTACCATATTACCTCACCTATTCTATATCCAATTGCAACTGAACATCTCCATGGAGATGTCCCATAGGCATCTTAAACATTAAGGTGTTCTACAACAAAGTAATTATCTTCCCCAACCTGTCCCTCCTTCTCTATTCTGTCTCAGTTGGAGCTTCTTGACAGCTCTCTCTTCCTCATCCTCCATGTTGTTTTACCTTATGGACGTTTCATATCATCACTTTCTATTCTCACTGCCATATTTTAGGTCAGTGGTTCATTGTCTCTCACCTGAATTAAGTGCAGTAGACAAATAGCACTAGTCACTCTGTCTATTAAATTGCCCCTGTAATCCATTTTCCACAATCAAAAGATTTATGTAACTAAAGTACAAATCTGATTGTCTCATTTCCCTGCTTTAAACCCTCAACAGCTCATGATTACCTTCAGAATAAAGTTCTAATCCCCTAATCAAGGTATATAAGCCCCCACCTCCAATGAGTAATCTTGGTACCTGCTCTACCTCATGTTCTGACATCCCAGTCAAAACTTTACTCTAGCCGTATTGTACCACTTGCTGTTCCCTCAACAAGTCATGCTCTCATCTAATCTCCAGGCTTTTCTCTTGCTACCTACAGAGCTACCTTCCTAAGGTCTACCTTCCTACCGTCTTTATCTGAAAAACTCATCCACCCTCCAGGAGTACAGTTGAGCATTGAACATTACCTTTTTGTGTGTGTGAAGCCTTCTCTAACACCCTAAGGCTAGGTTAAGTGCCCTTCTTGGAGTCCTTTCACACCTCACTGTGTAGCACTTTATTCTTTACTTTGTCTTCTCCATGAGACTGTTAATTTATTCAGGACAGAAATTGCTCCTTAGTCATCACCGCAGCCTAAGCACCTGGAATACCACAGCAGCCAATATTTCTGCATAAACAATTTCATGAGACAAACAGGCACTAAATAAAGATTTCTTGCTTAACTAGTTTCTATCCTTTTCTATTGTACACCTACTTCCTTTACTAGGTTTTTAAAAGGTGAGATTCTGGACAATGGGATTATTGGTGTTTTACCAGTTTAGCATCCCAAACCTGAAAATCTAAAATGCTGGAATCTGAAACTTTTTGAGCACCCACATGACACTCAAAGGAAATGCTCATTGAAGCATTTCAGTTTTTGGTTTTTTTGGATTTGGGATGCTGAACTGGTAAGTATAATGTAAATATTCCAGTCCTAAAAATCTGAAATCTGAACACATTTGGTTCCAAGCATTTTGTATAAGGGATACTCAACCTGTACATTATTCTTTATGTTTCTATACAATACTTAAATAGAATTTCATATCAAATGACCTGTTTTATCCCATTGTAGTAAGGTAAAAATATTAAATTTATGGAATGACAGTGGGTGTCTTTTGAGCATAGCATTTAGGAAAGGCTCCTTTTGGGCTATGCCCTAGAGCAATGGCAGAAACTCATGTGATGGGGTTCAGTGTGAATTACCAGTGGACCGGGGTCATAACTTCTAACTACCAAGTCAGAGCTAGAAGATGTTGACAATATTGCCTCTTTTCAGAGGAAGCACTTTAGGGGTGAACAGGTTCAGTGACTCAGCCGAGGCTACACATTGGTGCCCTTATTTCCAGTCCCATGCTCTTTTCACTGTATTATAGTGACTAAAACAAAAACACCTTGTTGTAGTAAGATTTGGCTATACAAATTTAGTGAAACATAGTGAGCCTTTTGAGCATACGTTTTGGCTTGGAATATAAAGAATATGAGAGTTCTAAAATGTTTGTGAATCTTCCATGCCTAGAATTTGATGAAATAACACTAGCTCCTAATTCTCTTTAATTTCATTTAATCATTAGTGCTTAAGAAGGGAGCAAAACTTTGCATGATACTTGTTTCTGGCCATCTACCCTATTCAGAAACTTGGAATAGACAACTTTTCTGGAAGGTCTGTTAGAAGTGGACTGACTACCTAGCATGTGGGAAAAGATATAACCAATTTAAATCTTCCCTTCTGGAATTCCAACTGATCTGGAAGCATTTCTGTGGCAATGTAACACACGAGTGTGAGTCTGGAAGGAAGGGTCACGGCAGGTATTACGCTGCTACTTCACTACTCACGTCTCTGGTCCTCGTGGGAAGTGAACTGGATGTGAGGCTGCCTGTCTTATTGGGGAAGAGCCACTTCTTGGGGCCCTGCACTCTCGAGGATGCACGTGAAGGCTGTGTAAACCGGCACGCGTTCTGTTGGCCGAAGGTGACCACAGCCCCCTCTTCTCCGGCCGAATTTTTCACACAAGGCCGCACGCTCGGCGCTCTGGCTTGCCGCCGGCGCCGGAGCTCCCAGGGTGCCACCGGCCACAGCCGAAAGCCCGCGCAGCGCCGCCGCGGTGCGCCCTCAGGGGGGCGCCCCCACCGGCCGCGGGGGCGCGGCGCTGGCGCGGCGGCGCGGGGCGGGGCTCGACTGCGGGGAAATGACGTCGCCGACCCCGCGCGCTCCGCGGGCCGCGCGTCCTGGTAACGGCGGCTCCACGGCTCCCGCGTCCTCCTCTATGTCCCCGCCTTCTCCCCCTGCGGCCCGCCCCGTCTCCTCCTCCCTCCGCAGCCTCAGCTGCAGCCGTCTCGCCTGGCCCCGGCTGCCGGCTGCGAGCCGGACCCGCGGAGCCCCCGACGCCCCCTCCGGGCGCGGGCTTGGCTGCAGGCGACAGCGGGCCCGACCCCGGGGCGCCGCCGCTGGACCCCAGGCGTCCGCCCCGCGCCGTTGTCCCTGCGGCCCCTGGCCGGCCGGACCGCCCCGTCCCTGGCGGGGGGTGACCGCGGGGGGCGCGGGCGGGCGGCGCCTGCGGCTGAGGCTGGGGGGCGCCGGGTGTCGGGTCGGGAAGCAGCCGCCCCGGCTGTTGCCTCCCAGTCGTCGCCGCCCCGCGGGCCTCCCCGCGAGCGCGGGGACAGGTGCCCCGGCCGGGGTCTGTCGGGAAGATGGCGACCCCGGGCATGAGCTGGCAGCCGCACTATTACGGCGGCTCGGCCGCCGGGGCGGCCAAATTCGCGCCCTCGCCGACCGCCGCGCAGCTGGCGGGGCACAGCATGGACTACAGCCAGGACATGCACATGAAGATGAGCAAGAAGATCGCCCAGCTCACCAAGGTAAGGGGCGCGGCGGCGGGGCGGGCCCGCCCGTGAGGCAGCCAGCGCCGGTCCCGGGGGCGAGTTGAAGGGGTCCCTTCCGGAGAAGCAACAGCCGGGGGAGACTTACCTCCAAAACCCTGCAAACTTCGGCGGAACGCTGGCAACGTGAATTTAAACTAGGCAGCACAGCGGCACGGCCGAGATTATGGGACTTGCCCCTCCTTGCTCTTTAGGGGTTAGCCAGCACCGAACAAGTTAGGATTTACTTGCTTTATTCCACAATAACAAATCACCTTACTTCTGCTCTCATGCATCTGCCAAGGCTCCACGAGGCATCACTCTCCTGTACTTAAGATGTACAGTACCGTATTTACCTAATATGACCTGAAATCCCCGGAATTAATCAGTATCTTTTATTGGTTACTTAGTTAAGAGGAGAATAAACTTTCACAGGAATGTTGGAGAGTAAAACATACCTTGCATGCCATTTTGGGGATTTAATGAGTCATTCCTCAACGTGACAAAATGTCAAACAAGGCTTATTAGATGAATCACACTGTGTTTGCATTTGGTTAAATGTTTCAGTCTATCAGAAGATACTTTTCAAGGAGCAAATAGCCTGCGAATTTGGCCAACTGTAGTTTAGGATGATACCTAAGTTAGTGAGCTTTTCTTCAAATTTACGTTGATAATGAAGAAGAGTTGGTGTCCGTGAAGCAAAAGCAGTTCAGATGCATTATATTGCTCTGTCGAGATCTCACATGCAATCTAGCAATAAACGCTTCAGGGAGAAGAGAAGTGATTTGTGGTTGCTGAAAGTTAGCAGATGTGGTGTACCTTAAAGTGTTTAAGCTAGTTTGCGAACCACTTGCTAGGAGCGTCAGCATACTGAAGAGAAGTGGCCATTGTGGGAGTTACTACAGCATAGCCTCTACAGCCTGACTGGACTCCGAAATTCTCATTGTGTAATTCCATCACTAGTTGGCACTTTTTAGAGAGTATAATAAGGCATTAGAATTGGAAGGGAGGAAAGGAGGAAAATAGGAGTGAAAAGGGGATGAAAAGAGGGTTAAAGGTTTTAGTGAAGAAATGTGATTGAGAATTGAAAGAAAACATGCAAAAACTAAAGAAAGAAGGAGCATAATGGTAAAACCCAACCATTCAAAACGAGGAAACATTTTGTGAATTTCCCTTGGTTTTTGTTTTGTTTGGTTTTTGTTTTATGTCAGCACCATCTCAGAGGTCTGTTTCCTCTTGTGACAGAGGGTCCCCAAATTCAGGGAAAGGAAGATCTAAGAAGGAACAATAGTAGTATATTATCAGAGCATTTACACATGTGGGGCTAAAAGCCAATACATAGTGTTGATCTTCAGAATACTGATGTCCAGAATGAAGCACATGAATATTTATTCTGATTTTCTCTTATGATGTGTTCACACACCCATTGTTCTTATTTTAGATTGTTACCCTCTAGACCCCTGCTGTAAGTAATAAAATAGTCAATAAGTTGGTACTGGGACTGTGTACTGTTTAATAAAAAAGCTGTTTTTCCTCTCTTCAGTAAACTTTTATCCTTTCTACTTAGACTTTTTCAATTTCCTGTTCTTTTATCAGAAAAAAACAGTTCAGCACCACTGGTAAAATGGGAGTATTGAATGGAAGCTCCTATCACATTATCCTGTTATACAGCCCACCTCAAATCTAATGAGACAACAGGATGCTCCCAGGCCAGTGCTCTCACACCCCTTGAGGGCCACACCTTATCTTTACTGGGTGTTAAACTCTCTGATTTCTTGTTTGTAGTTACAGTCTCTAAAACTGCACCCCCTCTGATAAGTGCCTCAGACATTTAATCCCACGTACTAGGTAGGGTTTCTCAACCTCACGCTATTGACATTTTGGACAAGATAATTCCATTGTTATTGGTGGGTTGTTTTCTACCTTATGAGATGTTTAGCAGCATATTTGGCACTGCTCAATGGGTGCCAGTGGCACGTTCTCTCCTCCTGCAGTTGTGACAATAAATATGTCTCCAGACTTTACCAGATTCTCCCAGGGTGGGGCAGGGTAGTGGGAGCAAAATCATCCCACATTAAGAACCATTGACTTATACTGAAAAATCTAGGGGTTCTCCCACCCCTATCTCTTGCCTTTATTTGCTAAGATAAGGCCTGAGAATGAAACAATCTGATAATAGGACTGTTGCAACCAACACCCTTCAGTTTCTGAAAACATAATAAATCTTGCTTCCCTTATTTGACATTTTGAAAACTGTCAAATTTTGCGGTCACATACAATAAGTTGTGAATATCATACCATAAGCATGACATCATGAGTGTGCATACACACACACACACACACACTGTTATAAACTTTACTAGTATCTGCCATATAGAATTTTCACTTGTGAAGTTTATTAATAAATTCTTATCAGCAGAGGTATGTTAGTATAACTATTGTCAGAACTTAACACTAGCTTATATTGCATAATTGAACATCATAAAGGTAACCATGAAAACTGCATTTTATTTCTTTTGGAAAGGAATCAGAGCTTGTCAGCATTATAGCAACAGAACAACTAAGAGCATGCCTTGGGAATCTGACACACTGTTGGAAGAAGGAAAGAGAGGAAAGAGCAACAAACTTTTACTTGATCAGTGAAGAAGCTAGATGGTTATCTCACTTCAGTGCTTTTGTAGCCTTGGCAGATGTTTCAAGCTCATTCTTTCACTTGTGAATCCTCTACTTCCCACCTCGGTTGCTTGACATTTTCACTTCAGGTTCCTTAATTAAGAGCCTGCTATGTGCCACATACAATACAATTCTCTAAGATAGGTTTTATCATCCCTATTTTAAAGATTAGGAAACTGAGGCTTAAGGCTTAGTGACTTACTCAAGGTCACAATACTAGTAAGTGGTGGGGTGAGAGTTTTATGAAGGCAATGTGTTGTATGTGGCACATAATAGGCTCTTAATTCAGGCTAGCACTGAAAAGACATATATGAACAAAGTGTTAGTAAAATATGTAATATATTTTTAAAATAAAATAAATTCTGCATTATATTTATTATAATAAATAATAGCATTATGTGATAGTGGGGTTTTTGAGGGTTTTCTGCTAAACTCTAAAAATATATACAAGAGTCATTTTTCTTCTATTTGAATATCAAATATTAAAGGTTTCACACTTATTCTTCATTGTAATATAGTACTGCAAATACAGTATGCAAGTTTCAGAGATTTGGCTGCCTATGATAGGCATGAAATTAATCAATTTTATAATTTTGTACATAGTAAAGCTCAATATATTTTTAACTGAAAAGGAAGGTTGGCTGTATATGTATTTGTTCAGATCGTATTTCCTAAGAGCCTAACATAGCAGCCTCCTCATGGTAAGAACAGCAGTTCTTTAAAGCACCTTTTATGTAAGAGGGACTTGGCTAAACGTTAGAGCTACAGCAGGGAGCAAGACACAGTCTCTGCCTTTTAAAGTGAGGCTAGTGTATTTAGGTCACTCATGTCAAGTTTTTAAGAATGAATATTCCATTCTTGAGCTATGTTGTGGTATATTTCTGGAAATGTTAATATCTGAACCATCTCAGAATAGGCAGATAAGCTGGATGGATTCAGTTCTATTTTATAAAACCATATTCGTGTACTTCCGTACCCTCCAGTGTGTTGACGCGTTTAGTGCATTAGGTTGAAAAGGGGGCCTTGTGGGACATAATTATAAACAGCTTTATTTCTGTCACTTTCAATTTACTTTTTCTCCCCCTTTTTGTCCTTTTCAATTTACTCTGTGAGGCTGGTTCATCCTCTGCCATGGACAAACTTTTCTGGTTGCTCTTTGATGATATTGATAATACAAATCGTCCTTTGGTAGCTGAGTTGCAAAATCTCAACTTGATTATTAAATTGTCCAGCGCCAACAAGTAAAAACTGCAGACCAACCCTGAAATAAAGATGAAGCTTCTTCTTTCACAATCACTCTCTCACTCTGTCTGTTGCAAGGGGGAGGCCAATAATTGGGGAAGGGGAGCATTATTGGCTTTTCTCTTCTTCCTCCTTTGTCTTGCCAGTGCTGGTTTCTCACCCCTTCAAAGTTGGACAAGGAAGAAAGGAAGAGAGGAAAAAGGAGGAGCAAACTTTTACTTGATTAGTGAAGAAGCTCGATGTTTAAAGCTCATTCTTTTACTTGTTAGATCCTCTAACTCCCACCTCAGTTGTTTGAGATTTTCACCTCAGGTTCCTTGACAGTGGTGCTGCATTCTTCCTCAGCCTCTGGGAGCTAGCAGTGCCTCCATCTTCATTTTGCTGAGGTCTGTGCAAAGTCTAGATGACCCTCTTAGAGGGACCCATATGACCCCATCCCCACCGGCTCTGTCTCTCTCCCATAAGGCCCACATCTGGTCCACAGAAGGCACTCATTCTTTGCACAAACTATAGAGTGGTTCCAGTTCAACCATCTCTCTTGTTCTCACATCCAGCTTTTCATCCTTTTTATTTTCTGCAAATGAATCAGGTGCCAGGTCAGTAGATTCTTCAAAGTGCTTGGCACACATATCAGGCTCTTCAAGGGGTCTCAAAGCCTTTTCTCCCAGGCTTTATGTTTAGGACAAGCATCCTTCTCCCTTGAAGGCACAGGCTCCTATTACCATAGCTTTCCACAAGGAAATCTTCTCCAACACCCAGCTCTGTAATCTTGATGACCCCTCTCACTAGCGATGGAAGTAGCACCTGCTTTGGAATGTCATTTTTAGTATAAGGTAGAGTCTAAGTTTCCAAAGAACAGAAAGTACTTTCTTCATGTTCTCTGTGCTTAGCATCAAGTCCTCTTTTAATACCCAGCTTATGGCCTTTCCACCTAAAACTGCCATGACCATGTGGACCTTGTTGGGCTTTTCTTATTCTAAATTTGCAAATACTGTTTATTGTGTTTATAAATATACTTTGTTTCTTTTCTTTTTGGGGGGTGTGGTATGGGGTCTCACTCTGTTACCTGGCTAGAATGCAGTGGC